TGACAACATGAAGACCAAGAAGTTTAGCGATCTGCCCAATGATGTGCATCTAGGAACGGTCAGATTTAAGTCCAAGGCTTGATGCTATGAGTCTAGGGATTTACCCCTAAGGCAGCGTTTCGTGACAGTGGCATCTGTTGCTGACGTGCCTGCTTTCCTAGCTAAGCATATAAATTAGTCTGTTGAGGATAAATAATCTCTGAGTTATCTTTTCATGAGGTGGTTGTGTTTTTAGTTTTCTTTTCTTCTTAACTGTATTTGGGCTCTGGGGTATGTGTGCACGTCCTGCATCCTTTCGGATTGCTGCATAGGCACGTACATGCCACGGTGGTTTGCTGTCTCCATCACCCCTTCCCCCTCACCTACATCAGGCATTTCTCCTGGTGTTACCCCTTCCCATCCTCCCCGCCCCCGCCCCGCTGTCCCTCGCCTCCCCTCCCCTCCACTTTCCCACCTAGCCCAGTGAGTGTTGCCCTCTTCCCGGTACCCAAGTGTTCTTATTGTTCATGACCTGCCTGTGAGTGAGCACATGCGGTGTTTGGTTTTCTGTTCTTGTGTCAGTTTGCTGAGAATGATGGTTTCCAGACTCATCCAAGTCCCTACAAAGGACACGAACTCATGGTTTTTTATGGCTGCATAGTATTCCATGTTGTGTATGTGCCACATTTTCTTTGTCCAGTCTATCATCGATGGGCATTTGGGTTGGTTCCAGGTTTTTGCTGTTGTAAACAGTGCTGCAATGAATATACGTGTGCATGTGTCTTTATAATAGAACAATTTATAATCCTTTGGGTATATGCCTAGTAATGGGATTACTGGGTCAAATGGAATTTCTATTTCTAGATCCTTGAGGAATTGCCAATTAGTTCAATTGGCTGAACTAATTTATACTCCCACCAGCAATGTGAAAGTGTTCCTATTTCTCCACATCCTCTCCAGCATCTGTTGTCTCCAGATTTTTTAATGATCACCATTCTAACTGGCATGAGATGGTATCTCAATGTGGTTTTGATTTGCATTTCTCTAATGACCATTTTTTTCTAATTAATAAAGTCCTCATAATTGGGGGGGTGGAATACAGAAAATTATAGAGGAGGAAATCCAAAGAAAAATGTTAAAAGCTGGTCTGCTTTCTGGCTTGGAGGCTGCCTTTCTCAGCTCCGTGTCTCTTCCCTGAGATTTAGCTACTGCTGGCTCGGGGTAGGGATCTCGTGGCTCATGGCGGCTGACAGATTTCAGTTTAGACCAGATGGATGCTTTGAGATAAACAATCAGATGACAAATAAGAAAACATGTATGTCATTGGTTGAATACAATGATTTTTACCAAAATGAACTTTTCTAAACAAGATCATGTGTATTGTACAATTAAATGCTACTTTTTAAAAATGATAAATACAAATTCTGAGTTTTGAAAGAGTACATACTTTTTTTTTTTATTCTTTTTTTGAGACAGAATCTCACTCTGTTGCCCAGGTTGGAGTGCAGAGGTATAATCTCAGCTCACTGCAACCTCCACTTCCCGGGTTCAAGTGATTCTCCTGTCTCAGCCTCCCCATAGCTGGGATTACAGGCGTGAGCCACGATGCCCAGCTAATTTTTGTATTTTTAGTAGAGTCAGGGTTTTACCATGTTGGCCATGGCTGGTCTCCAATTCCTGGCCTCAAGTGATCCACTTGCTTCGGCCTTCCAAAGTTCTGGGATTACAGGTGTGAGCCACCATGCCCAGCTGATTGCATACTTTTCACCAAGATATTTCTACAAGCTGAACAACAATAAAATATAAACACTGGTTTGTAAACAATGGACAAAAATTGCTTTTGAAAACCATATTTCATGTAAACCAGGGTAAAAACTAACCAGAAAGAATATGCTAAAGGTAAATATTTTAAAGAGTATATTTTAGTAGAGTAGGCCACAGATAAAGAAATAGCAAGGTCCCTGGAGTAGTCAAATTCAAAAAGACAGAAAGGAGAATGAGCGTTCCTGGGGCTGGAGGACAGGGGAGGGGAGTTGCTGAATGAGTAGAGTTTCAGTTTTGCAAGATGAAAAGAGTTCTGCAGACTGAACACCAATGCAAATGTATTTAGCACTACTGAACTACACATTTAAAAGCCTCATGCCTGTGATTCCAGCACTTTGGGCGGCTGAGGCGGGTGGGTCATTTGAGTTTGAGACCAGCCTGGCCAACATGGTGAAACCCTCATCTCTACTAAAAATACAAAAATGAGCCTAGCATGGCAGTGCACCCCTGTAATCCCAGCTACTCGGGACGCTGAGGCAAGAAAATTGCTTAAGCCCGGGAGGTGGAGGTTGCAGTGAGCTGAGATCATGCCACTGCACTCAATGAATGCATGAATGAATGAATAAATGAATAAACAAACAAATAATAAATGGTGCTGCTGTGAAGATCTGTGTGCATGTCTTCTGGGGAACATAGGGATGCCATTCTCTTGGGCATGCACCTGGATGTGGCGTTGCTGGGGCGTAGTGTGTCCCTGTGTTCAGCTTTGGTGGACATTTTTAAGGAGTTTCCCATGGTGGTTCCATCAGCAGACATCCAGCAGGGTATGAAACCACAGTTACTCTTGTCCTGGTCAGTGGCAGTGATGTTTGTTTCATTTTCCCTCCTCTGGTGCGTTGTAGAGGTGCCATACTGTGGTTTTAATTTGCATTTTCCTGATTTTCATGAAGTTGAGCACCTTCAGTTATTTCATTAGGTCTGACTGTTGACTTGAACTCTGAGCCTGTTGCACCAGCAGGCCCTGCCCTATGGCTTGGAGTTGGCTCTTCCGTCCGCCTGGAGTGGTTCCCCCAGATGTTTGCACAACTAACTTGTTTGCTTCCTTCCCATCTTTTCTCAAATGTCACCTTCTTCATGCTGCTGAGCCTAATGATCCTATTTTAAAATGCTACCCACAGGCCAGACACGGAGGCTCACGCCTGCATTCTCAGCCCTTTTTACGCCCTCCCAAGTGCATTCATGACGCAAATATCCCCCAAAGGCCCCACCTCCCAACACTGTTGCAATGGAGATTAAGTTTCCAATGTGTGAATTTTGTGTGACACATTCAGACCATAGCACTCACTCCCACATTTCCTGCTAATATGCACATCTCTGTAGGAAAGATCTTTGGACATCACTTTTTTTTTTTTTTTTTTTAAGATAGGGTCTTGTTCTGTCCCCCAGTCCGGAGTGCAGTGGTGCAATCACAGCTCGCTGCAGCCTCAAACTCCTGGGCTCAGTTTATTCTCCCGTCTCAGCCTCCTAAGTACCTGGGACTGCAGGTGTGCGTCACCACGCCCAGCTATTGTTGGTATTTTTTAGTAGGGACAAGGTTTTGTAATGTTGCCCAGGCTGGTTGGACATCACATTTTGAGCACGTTTCTGGCTGTTTTTAAGATTATATTCCTAAAAATGTTGGAATACCAAGGTCCCTGGGGTGTTTTTTTCCCAGAAAATAATATTTGTTTCCCGTGAGACACAGTGGTACGGGGGTGGGGTGGGGGCGGGCGGCAGGGGGCGGTTAAGGGCATAGACCCTAGAGTCACATTGCCTAGGTTGAAGCCTAGCTCTGCCACCCTGGACAGTCACTTCCTCTCCGTCTCTGTAAATGAGTATAATAGCAGTACCTGCCTCACTGGGTTGTTGAATAGGTTCAATGAGCTAATATATAAGAAACACGTAGTGAGTGCTATAAAGTGTTTCTTCTTCTCCTTTTGCTCCTCCTCCTTCTTTCCCGGTATCATTATGATAATGATACAATTCTCATTTGTTCTTTCTGTAAAATGGAGCTTGATGTCGGAGCTGCTTCCCAGGCAGTCAGGCGGCGAAGTCACTGAGAATGAGGAAGGCGTTTCTGACTCAGCTGTGGGCGGGCAGCTGCAGTGGACAGCTGAGTCTCAGCAACACTTCACATGTACAAAGCCTGACCCTGGAGTCTTGAGGCTGAACTTTTCACCAACAAGCAGGAATGCATTCATGAATGTTACCTTCTGAGCACTGTCCTCTGGAGGTCACCCTGGCCTGGACCATTATGGGGATTTCTCTGATGCCCCCCATACTACCACCTCAATCTGAATTTAGCAGCTCCCTTCACATCTGGTTAGATCTCCTTTTTCTTTATTTTATTTTATTTTTTTTATTTTTTTATTTTTATTTTTATTTTTGAGACGGAGTTTCGCTCTTGTTACCCAGGCTGGAGTGCAATGGCGCGATCTCGGCTCACTGCAACCTCCGCCTCCTGGGTTCAGGCAATTCTCCTGCCTCAGCCTCCTGAGTAGCTGGGATTATAGGCACGCACCACCATGCCCAGCTAATTTTTTGTATTTTTAGTAGAGACGGAGTTTCACCATGTTGACCAGGTTGGTCTCGATCTCTCGACCTCGTGATCCACCCGCCTCGGCCTCCCAAAGTGCTGGGATTACAGGCTTGAGCCACCGCGCCCGGCCATTTTATTTTTTTTATAGATGGGGGGGTGTCACTATGTTGCCCAGGCTGGTCTTGAACTTGTGGGTAGGCTCAAATGATCCTCCCACCTCAGCCTCCTACAGTGTTGGGACCACAGGTGTGAGTTCCTGCACCTGGCTTAAATCTCCTTCTTCAAACGTAAGCAATCATGCTTAGGTTTAGGGTTATTGGTGCCTGGGTCCCCGTCCCATACTGAATTGCAGTCCTCCTATGGGGAGCCAGCTAGTCTTCATGCTGGGTCCTGCGGCCCCCGTACAGTGTTAATGAGTCAGAAATGCTGGTTTTGCTGCTGGGTTCCGTGGAACCTCCTGGGGCACTTTTCCGACTACCCCTGGTGTGGCCCATCCGTGTCCTTGGGGGATGACTGTGACTCCGGGAAAACACGTAAAGAACTCTGTGCCAAGTTCGGTGAATGAAGTGAGCCATGCCAATTCTGTCCTATAAATAAATGTACAAGACTGGCGTTCTTGCGTGGTTCATAGCCAGGTCTAGCCGCCACACCCCCAAAAGCTTTCCAGAAAGTATTTTGAGCAGGGCCTTTAGAGCAGGCCGTGGAGTCCGCAGGCCAAGGCCGACCGCGCTGCTCTGGGGCGGGCGGGCGTTCCCGCATGGGGCTGTAATGCCACGATCGGCCACAGGAGGGCGGCCATATTCCAGACCCCACTGCGGAAGCCTCCGCAACTGCTCCAAGAACTTTATTTTATGCAGACTGGCGGCGAGAGCAGCTGCAGTTCGCATCTCAGGCAGTACCTGGAGGAGCTTGCCGCTGCCTCCCCAGAACATCTTCTGATCGCTGCCCAGGGCCAGGCACCAAGGACAGGGACTCCCAGGTGCAGACCCCCCATTCGGGGTCCCCCAGGCGCAGACCCCCCACTCCGCCACAGGTTGCATCTTGACCTGGTCCTCCTGCAGAAGTGGCCCCTGTGGTCCTGCTCTGAGACTCGTTCCTGGGCACCCCTGCAGCCCCTTTCTATGACTCCATCTGGATTTGGCTGGCTGTGGGGACGCGGTCGGAGGGGCGGCCTGGGTCTCAGCGTGGTGGCAGCCAGCTCTCCGGCCACCATGGCGAATGCCGGGATCTGAGGGGACAAGACTCCACAGCCTCAGCCAGGGGCACTCAGGTGAGTCTTGGGACTAACTTTGTCCCATCTCCCGGGCATGCTGTCTCAAAGGCAGCTGGAGGAGAGTGGAATGAGCTAAATGGAGCGGAGTACAGAGTTTGGGAAACTTCAGGACTTAGAGCCTGGAGGTGCCTGCTCCAGGTGGGAAGGTCCCTGCTGCCTGGGCCCACAGATATCCACTGGGCCCTTGTCCAGCTGCTTGGGCTGGAGAGTGTGAGCCTGCACTTGGGGTGCCAGAGGGAAGCTGTTGCCTTGGTGGCAACCCAACCTGACTCATGTCACAGCCTAAGAGCCTACTCAGGGTGCAGATAGCTCGGGCCATGGCTCCACTCCATGGGTTCATGTGTGTGCATGTGTGTGTGCATGTGCATGTGTGTGCATGTGTGCCTGTATGTGTGGCTGTGTGCACGTGTGTGCCTGTATGTGTGGGTGTGTGCATGTGTGTGCCTGTGTGCATGTGTGGGTGTGTGCATGTGCCTGTGCATGTGTGTGTGCACGTGCGGGCGTGTGGAGGTGTGTGCGTTTGTGTATGTGCGTGTGCATGTGCATACGTGTGCACGTGTGGGTGTGTGCGCGTGTGTGCATGTATGTGTGTACATGTGGGTGTGTGCATGTGTGTGCATGTGCCTCTGCATGTGTGTGGATGTGTGTGCGTGTGCATGTGTGTGCATGTGTGCATGTGTGGGTATGTGGGGGGTGTGGATGTGCGTGTGCAGGTGTACATGTGCATGTGTGGGTATGTGGGTGTGTGTGTGTGCGTGTGCATGTGTGGGTGTGTGCATGTGTGTGCATGGGCATGTGCCAGAAGTGGGTATATGCCAGGAGAGGTTATTTCTAAAGCATCTGTCCCTGTCCAGCTTTGGGTTATGATTTTTCATAGCTAAGCACAGTTAAAGGAGGAAACATTTAAAACCTCCTTAGTGATTCTCTGGAGAGGGGCCACACTCAATGTGATTTTTTCCTTGGTGTTGAGGAGTTTCAAGTGAGGCAATCCAAAGAAAAGCCGTAAACCCTGCAAAGTTAGATGCTGGTACCCAGAGAAACTGACGGGAGCAGCAAGTGAGGCTCATGCTATCTACTCAGAGGAAGAATTAATTGAGTCCTTCTGCTGTCCAGAGAAGGACTGGAGAGCCAGGGTCCAGATTTCAGCCCTAGAGTGCATTTGCTATTGCCTTTTGCAAAGGGAACTTCAAAGAGCTTTGTTTCTGGGACTGGTTAGGTAGGAAGGAGACCCTGGGAACCTGGACGCCTCCCTACCTGGCTGCCTGGCAGGGTCAGAAGATGCTGGGGGATGCTTATTCTCACCAGCTCCCCTGAGTGACCTTCTTTGTAAAGCCACGCCACGTGTATTCTCTTACGGGCTGCTCACAGTGACCCTGAGTGACCAGCAGATACCGACCTTCCCATCTGAGAGGTGATGCACCTGAGGCCGAATGAGGTCAGCTGACTGAGCCAAGTTCCCCAAGAAACCAGTAAGCCGAGGAGCTAGGCTGGGAGCCCTTGGCCTCTGTGCTCCCCGCATTCCTGCAGAGAGCCAGGGCTGCAGGGCACGGAGGGCTGAGGGCTTTTCCAGTTTGAAAATGCAGAATCTAGAGGCAGATCCCTGGCCCTGAACCTGCCCCTCTAATTGCCTGGAAGTAAATCCTGACTGCCGAGGTTAGTGGAGAGGGCGTTCCCCCATCCACCCCCATTAGAGCAAGGCTTCCTCTTTCAGTTGCAAGTTGAGGTCCAGGCTCTTTGGGCTTCACAGACAGGTCTCCGTGGCTTCCACATCTTGCCCATGTGCTCCGAGCTCTCAGAGCCCTGCCTCAGTCCCAGGAGCCCCACCTGCTGGGGTACACTGACTGGCTCTCCGAGGTGGGATTCTCTTCCCTCCCTCGGAAGAGAATCTGGGACCCAGAAAGTGGCCACCAAAAGGCGCTGACGTGCAATTCCCAGACAAAGCAACCCTGCAGCTGAGCCAGTGCCGTGGGTGGGAAACCCGTGCCCGGGGCCTCTTCCTGCTCTGATATCTGCTCCTTCTTGCCTCTTTGGTCTGGGTTGGCTTATCTTTAAAATGGTTGTGACGGAATGCAAATGCCACCAGCCTGCCCCCGTCACAGTGCTCCTGGGAGAAGCATCCCAGGGAGCAAATGGCCTGTACCTCTCGGGGCATGTACAGGTGCCAGGGATTGCCCTGCCGTCCCCTCGCTTGCCGGCAGTTTCGTCTTCTAGAGCACAGACTTGGTCCAAAGGCAGTAAGACCCGTGATCTGAAGGTCCCAAAACCTGACCATTCCCCAAGAAAGAAAAACAGCCCCCAAGAAAACCTGGGCAAACCCAACGTGTAGGTTTCATTCCAAGTAACAACCATGAGCAGAATTGGCTGAGCTTTTCCAAGCCCTGTGCACTCACATCTGGGCCCGCTCGGCCCCAGCCCCTCTCCCCTGGGCTCGTGCTCCTAGGCTGCAATGTGGGAAGGAGGAAGGAGACGGTCACCCTTTAGACACATTCTGGCTAACAAGTGTGAATCTCAGCCCCGTCCCAGGAGCTGATGAGAAGAGGAGGAAGGTGGAAACGGCGGTGGGGCCTCTCACCTCACTGCCTAGGCTCAGCATGGCTGCAGCGCCCTGTCCAGCTCCGGGTGGCCTCCGGGTAGCAGAGGCTGTTGCCTTTGGCAGAGGGAGGGTTATTGCAGGCAGAAGGGACATGGACCTCCTGCTCCACAGCCCCCAGGAGTGAAGCCAGAGGGAGGGGTGCCGTACACAGTGCTCACGAAACGAGGGAGGGTCCCTTGCAGCCGAGCAGTGCTGGAGCTGCCTGGAGCCCCACCTAGAGGCCTCCCCTGGGTGGAGGGCCGGGATTCGGCGCCCAGAGAACTGGACACCACTGTAGCAAAGGGAAGCCAGAGTGGGTGGTGTCCAGGGCAGGGAGGAGAGATCCTGGCAGAGCTGCCGACCACCCCCCGTTCCATCCCTCCCACAGCCTGGTGGAGAAGCCGGCAGAAACTGGGAGCCCCATGGCTGTGCGTGTGCGTCCCCGTTGTGGGGGATGTAGAGAAGGGCTAAGAGCAGAGGCCTCCAGCCGTCCTGGGTCATGGGAAGGACACGTGTACAGTGACTGGTCAGTTCTGGTCTCCTCTCAGCCCTAATGTCAGAGGTGTCTGGAGACCAAACTCAAGTCGTGAAAATAGGGGGTTCAGCTGGACGCAGTGGCTCAGACCTGTAATTCCAGCACTTTGGGAGGCTGAGGCCAGTAGATTGCTTTAGTCTAGGAGTTTCAGACAAGCCTGGGCAACATGATGCAAACCCATCTCTGCAAAAATATTAGCAGGATGTGGTGGTATGTGCCTGTAATCCCAGCTACTCTCTGGAGGCTGAGTTGGGAGGATCACTTGAACCCGGGAGGTGGAGGTTGCAGTGAGCTGAGATGCACCACTGCTATCTAGCTTGGGTGACAGAGTGGGACCCTGTCTCGAAAGAAAGAAAGAAAGAAAGGAAAGGAAGGAAGGAAGGAAGGAGAAAGAAAGAAATCCGGGGTTCATGTTCTGCTCTGCTGCACAGCAACCCGGCCAGCCTCCTTCCCTGATTTTGTCTATTTTTGAAAGTTGCCACGCCTCCTTGCCCACCCTCCCTCTGAAGAGGAACTGATTGATCTCTCAATCAACAGGCATTGTCCCCCCACTGCCACCCGTCAGCCCCTGCATCCTCTCTTCCCAGGCTCCTCTGGGTTGAAGGGTTAAGTTTGCTCCATTGCATCTGAGGATGGCCTGGGACCCATCCTCATGGGGCTTTTATCTTCCAAAGGATTTATTATTTAAACCAACAATGGCTATTTTTTGGTTAAATGTCCAGATAGCTAAAGAGCATCAGAAACAAAGGTCTAGATAAACTTACGGCTGGAACCTTGGTGAAAGTAGAGAATAATTTACAAAGTCACTGGGCATGTTTGTGACAAAAACAATATCAAGTAATTGATGTAAATACTTCGTAATTTGACTTAAAAAACCAGATTCTTCTCATTACATAAGGAATGCAAATGCGTCATAGAAAACCCAGAAAATCTGAAAGCGAAAAGAAATACGAATCCCGACAATCCCTTCCAGCCACGGTCCATTATTAAACATTTCTCACCCAGAGCCATCGTAGCTTCTGACAGCCACACGCACCTTACATGTACATCTCTTCCAAAATGGGATCGTGTTGTACACGTTGTGTAAACAGGCTGTTTCCTTTCAAAGAGCATAGGATTCTCCTAAGTCAATATATATGTTCCTGGAACACTATGGTGTAGACCCAGAGACCCAGTGAGTCAGCTCAGGGGGCTGTGCAGACAGGATCCCTCCCCTGGCCAAAAGCTGCCCAGATGCTTGGTGTGTGTGGGTCCCCGCAGAGGCTCCCTGCTCCCTGTTGTGGTTTCACTGAGCTGCGCTCCTTCTGAGATGCCAGTGTCGCTGGATTTGAGAGCAGTCCTGGTCTCTGCAGCTGTGTTTGCAGGTGGTCTCTGTGCCCCTCTGAAAAGTGCCTTCGTGTCTAGTTTCCTTCCTTCATTTCCAACACAGAACAGAAGCGCAAGTCTCTCCGGCATGCCCAGGGCTTCCAAGGGCTCAGAACCTGATCGCAGGTCACCTTTTGGGTCAGCAGGGTTGCCTCCTCCTGGTCCATCCAGTATGACCCACAGTGGCCCCAGCTCAGGACTCCAGCCCCGCTGAGAGTTGTTGAAAGGAAGGGATACATCCCACCATCAGAAAGGTCCAAGGGTCTTGGTCTTCCAAAGCCCTGAGGAAGCTGGGGGTGGGGGTATCAGGGCCCCAAGGACGTGGAAGATGGCACCTGGGTCCTGGTGATGAGCAGAGGGTCCTGGAGTTCAGGCTCAGAGCCAGGGGTGAGCGCCTTGTTCTGTCCATTTGTTTCTATTTCCACCTACGGTTGATTCTCTGTCTCTCTCCCTGCGTCCGTCCTCCCTCCCCTCCCCTCTTGCCATCTCTGCAGCTGTTGCAGGGCGCGATGGAGAACAAAGCCATGTACCTGCACACTGTCAGCGACTGCGACGCCAGCTCCATCTGCGAGGATTCCTTTGATGGCAGGAGCCTGTCCAAACTGAACCTGTGTGAGGGCGGTGAGTGCGGCCGGCTCAGTCCCGGGGCGCCAGACTTGGCCTGGGGGTGGAAGAGGAGCCCTACCCCACACCCAGCCTCAACATTGCCATTGAGTGCTGGTGACCTCCCCATTTAATGGTGCATCTGTTGACCTTGATGCTTTAAAAGATCTTTTCCAATGAGTCTTCTCATTCATTTCAACAAACCTGTCAGCAAGATGAGGACTCATGTAACAGATGGACAGATCGCACAGCTCCTCAGTCCTAGGGGGTTCAGCACCAGCCTACTCACTCTGAGAGAGAGACTGTGGTCAGGCAAGGGCTCTGAGCCAGTCACGGAGACCCGCTCAGGTGAGGAGAGTGGCCTCCCACCCACTTTCTTTAAGCGTTTGTGAGGGGCAAACACAGCCCTCCAAGGCGCTCGTCCTGCCCCTGGGTGCAAGGCCCCGGTCTTGCCACAGAAAAGGGACCCCGCACCAGTGACCCAGAAGGCCCTGCATCTCAGGGGCTGCTTATTTGCCAAAACCCTGGAGATCCCAGTGATGCCGTTTCTTTTGGAGGAGCCCAGCATGCTTTTCCACCAGCCTGGCGCCTGTGCACCCAGCCAGTGCCTGATAAACCCTTGCTGCATGAACAAGTACACTCCTCACTGCGGCACGTGCCAGGAGAGGAGAACTCACCCCCATGTCGAAGAGAAATAGAATGAAACTGACCCAAGAGCCCTCAAAGAGTCCCCACCAAGGAGACAGGCCTTTTCCTTCTCTCATTTTGTTCCACTCTGCCAACTGCCTCTTGGAATTACTCAAGAGCAATGACTCCCCTCCTCTCTTCTGCCAATCCTGCATTCCTCTCACCCAGTGCTGAGTGTAAGGAAAGAATCGCGGTGGCTTAGAGAGGCAGGGAGCAGGGAGGTTCTCCGCAGGCAGAGGAGGCAGGAGATGTGGGCTTCTGACCCATGCAGCTGCTCACCACACCCTAGAGTCTTCCAGCAGGGTGGCTCTTCCTCCGGATTCCAATCAACAAGCGTATTCTGAGGATCCACAGTGCATCAGGCCAGGGTGGGCAGCCAGTGGTGCTCCAAAGAGAAACCAGTATTTGCCCTCAAAGGGCTTATGATCCCAGTAGAAGGGGCTGGCATGGGAACAGTTACCTCAACTATGAAGTAGGGCAAAATATGTGTGAATAATGAAGTCACGCAGGCAGAGGGCTTTCTGGAAAAGGGCCGGAAGACTGAATAAGATTGTTTAAGAGGAGAAGTGGGGAAGGTATTCCTAGCTGTGTGACACCAGGCTGTGTCAGGCTTTCTGGAAGGCTTATGTCACTCGGGCAGAGGAGAAGGCCTGGGGTGCTGGCCCCACGCAGAGCCCCCATCACTCCATCAGCAAAGGGGAAGGTGGTGTCCGTATCCACTGGCACATCAGCAAAGAGACTTGGTTTGGCTGGAAAGACTGTGTACAGCACAGTGGGGTGATTAGAGAGGACCATCAGGGCCAGTCTGGGGAGCGACGGGGGTAGGAGGGGTGGGCTGTCCCTGGGACCACCATACCCTCCTCCCGGTACCTCATCTTACTCTCCCTTTTTCTGAACCCCAGATTTTTTTTTTTAAAAGCTCATTTGGACTAGAGAACTGAAAAGGAACAGCAGTCCTGGCCACTGCACCTTCTGGGCCCCTCTGCTGTGGGGGCTCTGTCAGAAGGCACTTTGAGAGCCAGGCTAGCTATGTCCTGTCCCAGGGTTCCCCGATGCCAGGTCCCAGGGCAGAGCAGACAGCAGAGGTTGAGAGCTGTGGAATCCAGGCTGACCCGCCCCTCCTGGGCTTGTGACCCTCTGTGGGCCTCCATGTGCTCATCTGCCAATTGGGGATGTAGGGGTGTATCTCTGAGGTCCTATCTGGTTCTAAAATTCTGTGTGTGAAATCAGACCTGGCCGTTGCATTAGGGGTGTGGCCCTTTTCAACCCCAAATCAGAATATGACGCTATGCTGGGCAAAGCATGGCTGTGGCTCTACTTCAGCAGGAGTGAAAACTTGGGTGCTGGCAATGTACCCAGGAGGTCCCGTGGAAACTCTGGCTCACTCACCTGAGGCTTCTGCCCTTAGAAGGGTGCTCCCCTGACATCCCACAGGGTGCATCACTGCCCTGTCCCGCTGGGTTCATGTTCTCACCTCCCATAGGACTTTGCTGAGCTTCCACCTTCTCTGAGGCCTGAGTTTCCATGCCCCTTTTCCTGACTCTTTTTTCCTTTCTTCCATGGTCTAACTTCCTCCTGACGTTGTAGTCTCCTTATTTACATGTAGCATTCATTATCTGTTCCCCACGGCAAGAATATAGGCTGGACCATAGCAGGCATCTCCGTTTTGTTTATTGATGTCTCCCAAGCCCAGCATGTGGTAGGTGCTTACTAGGCATTTTTTGAATGACCGAATGGACGGACAGATGGATGAACAGATGGATAGATGAATGGATGGATAGATGGATGGATGGATGGGTGGTTGGGTGGATAGACGAATGGATGGATGAGTGAATGGATGAATGAGTGGATGGATGGATGAATGAATGGATGGATGGTTGGATGAATAGATGAATGGATGGATGAGTGAATGGATGAACGAGTGGATGGACAGATGAATGAATGAATGGATGGATGGATGAATGGATGGATGAATGGGTGGATGAATGAATGGATGGATGGATGAATGAATGGATGGATGGATGAATGAATGGGTGGATGGATGAACAGAGGGATCCTTGAAGTCTAAATGTGGCAGAGCATTCACCTTCTACACCTGATTGCTGATTTCTCTGGATCTGTCTTCATTCCTTGCTGCCAGGTTGGGGGCTGGAACCCAGGCAGAGTAGAGTGTTGAGATGAAGCCAGTGACATCAGAGTTGTGTGCTTCCAATTTGATTTTCCCCCCTTTTCCTTTCATTTCTGAGAGGAAAACAATGAGCTTGACTTGGGGAAATTCAAGCCAGATTTGATCTGTTGCTGAAGGGTTTTGCTGTTTCTTTGATCGTCATCTTTGCAGAGTGAAATGGGAGAGGAAGAGGGGGGTCCCGGGCAGAGAGGAGGGGGAGGGTGGGAGGAGATGGGAAAGGAAGGGAGAGCCAGCACCCCTGAAACCAGTCAGGCCTGCCCTTCAGCCTTTATTTAGTAAATGAAGACGGTGAAGTGTGAGGCCCAGGACAAGCTCCAAGTCCCCTTTGGGACTTCCTCCTCCAATGGAAGGCAAGTGGTGGCAGGAGGGGAGGAGGGACGGGACTTCTGGTTGGAGCTGCCCGTGGGGATAGTGGGATCAGGGGAGGCAAAGTCACGAACTGTACAGCCCTGACATGAACGTAAGACACAGCCTTCCCTGCCAGTGGGACCTGCTGAGCCCGGTCTGGTCCCCGCAGGCTCCCCGCTGTTCCTGCTGCCTGTGATGAGCTGCCCTGCTCTTGTGGCCTGTGTGCTGTGGAGTGCAGGTCTCATCATCACCGAGACCCTTGAGGTCAGGACGGTGTTTTGCTGCTCTTGGAATTCTCTTGGGACCTCGTAGGTGGCAGGTGTCCAGGAAGTCTTTATGACTGTTGGTAAATGATGTGCGAAGTCCACTCAAGTCGTCAGTGGTGGAGCTGGAACCCGACTCTGAGTCTCTGTACCTGGGATGTGGGCTCCTTCCCTGGATGGGGATTCCACAGGGTTGGCCTGAGGGTGCTAAGGAGTAACTCCGCTCACCTCTGGATTTGGAACCAATTGAGAAATAGACAAGGAGGCATGTGGGAATCCAAGCGCCATGTCTGCCTTAAACCTGGAAAAGCTCAGTTCACGATGTGGCTGCTGGCACCCCCAGCAGACACTCACCCAGCCGGCAAGTATGAGTGCCCCTGCTCAGGCACCAGCCTTCACCTGGTTCACCCACGCATGCCCTCCTCCCACCCACCCGAGAAACAGGGACAAGCCATGGCAGGTGACAGGAGGCTCACCCATTGGATGAGGCGGCACTTCCTGGAGGTGGAGGTGCCGGTCCCTCTTTCATGGGCTTGGGCAGGTGGTCGGTGCAGAGAGAAAAGGCACTCCCTGCAGCCACTACCAGAGGCCAGGGGAGGAAAAGAAAGCGAGGAGGCGAGGGGACACCCTCGGAGTATGGGCTGGGCGGGGCTCAATGCCCAGGGAACGTCTTAGTGCAGAGGAAGGGACTCTCCCCGAGTGGAGCAGCGCCTGCAGGCACCATCCACTTCTGCACGGGACCTGCTGCTTTTTCACTTTCCTTCTTGTCCCTCCTTGCCTCTCTTTGCCCTCCCTGCTTTTATCCCTTCCCTTTCTTCACTTGCCAGGTGACATAGGAAAAGAAGGGACTGTCGGGTGCCTCGGCTCCTCTGAGCAGCCACCTTGCCCGGCTCCTCCAGATCATCCTGTCTCCGCACCCGTCAAGGCCCCCAGACACCCCTTGTTCTCTGATGCCTTCGGGGCCTCCCCTCCCTGCAGGGCTGGTCAGGGCCACCTCTGGAATCCGCCCCCTCCCTTGCATCTTGGTCATGGCTGTCCTCCTCGGGGTGCTGTTGATGGGCCCTGTCCTCCTCACCTCGTGGAGCCTGGCTGTGGTCGAGGCTCCTCCTGTGGGGCTGGAACTACTTGGAAGGGCCAGGTCCAAATAGGACCTGGAAGGCTCTGGAGCCAGGCTGCCTCTGGCGGCCTCCGATGGATGCTCACCCACGCCACCCTCGGAACGGAACCGCCAGGGGCTGGTGTCTGGCCACCCTCTCCTTCCCCCCACCTTCCCTCTTCCCACCTTGGTTTCCCCAATATGCAGCTGGGGCCTCTCCAGTCTGACACCAGGAGGTGGAGGAGGAGGCCGAGCTGGAAGTGGGTGGGGGCCGGCTGGGCCTGGCTCCCCTGCAGCACGTTCTGAGGGCCAGAGAGAGGTGTTAGTGTCAGAAAAATACTGCAGTCCCACTCGCCCCTGCGGCCCCAGCCCCCTCCACTTGTGGCGTCATCTGTGGCCGCAAACAGGACCCGGGGGGTAATGAGTTACACATGCT